ATCAACAAACTACAATACTATTTTACATACTCTGAGGTGATTTCGAAAATGATAAATTGCATGTTCCCAGGACTGGTACACATAATAAGGGAAACTACACCAAGGAACTATCTATGCAATTCATCAAAAAAGAACCATAATAAAATGATGCTCCTTTGATAGCAAGGAATACAGCACAGAATGAAACCAAGAATTTATCAAAATAAAATAAAGGTATATACATAAATTACTGCATTATTTTACCAAAAGATTTCAACCAAGACACAAACAATACAAAGACAAATGTGGGCGTGTTAACAGTGAAGTGCAAACTAATCCCTGACAGAGCCACTCTGTCAACTCTATTACCGGTAGTTGGGAGGGAAACAATACAAAACTGTAATAAAGTAATTGCCTCTCTCCTAGTGAGACATCCTCGGAGTCCTAGGGGCAGATAGTGGGCTGGCAAAGATGGAATTTCCGGCGTTTGAGTGGATACGAATTAGCCAGAAATGAAATATTTCTGCGGCACGGGAGCAGTGGGGACTGCGGCAGTTGAAGTGCAGTATGGGTAGAATGGAGCACTATAAAAGGGATGCTTATCACGTGGGAAAGCATTCTAGGCCGACACCTCATCTAGCTCATGTTATTTTTTATTTATTTATCTTTCTTAGCTTGTTTGCCTTTCCTTAGATTATTTAGAGTTTGCCGTCCTTTGTTGGAATACTGTCTTGTTTTGTAAATAAGGGCAAAGTCCTTCCAGCCGTGTAGCCTTTGTAGGATGGGCTTTTCAGAGCATGAGCCATGGATCCTACCCAGATTTGCTGCCAAGTTTTTTTCCTTACTGAGGTATTTTTCCAGCAGTTTTTTTCTGGCCTCTGTTCTGACAGTATTCTGTGTAAACTGTCGCTCAGCTCTGTTCTAGTTCTTACACCACATATTTGAATGTAATAGAAGATGTTGTATAATGTATTGTTACATCTCCGGTGCTCGGCCGAAACAGCCAAAATAAACCTAATGGTTTTTTTATTCATGTTGTACTGTGTTGTGGAGCCAAAATGTAGGTCTATTCTCCCAAAATGGGTTGAAAAATTTAGTAGTTAACAAAATAATTTGTCTGTTAAGACTTTTCCTCACCCCCACGATATGCCCTTGGGTGTCTAAGGATGCTAGTGTCAGTGAGATGGTGGCTCTCACAATAATATTACATACAGTCACTCACCATTTCAATGGCTGTCCATCATACTCAAACCACATCTCATCTACACTTTCACTACTTATGGCTCTCTGAAAATGTCTTTGAACTTTGTCAGTTACAAGAGTTAGGTAGCTCAATCTAGGCACCAAAAGCTAAAAAATAACACAAAAGTTCAAAATTAATTTTTAAGGCTGATTTGCCATATATTGGGTTCAGTCAACCCCCTTCTCACACTCAGTAATAATTCAGAAACCACAGTAATGAGACAGAGTACGCAATGCCTTCCTCAAGAGTTACATCAGAAGAAAGTGAGTTGAAAAAGGTCTTTGAATTGAGGCCTTATCAGCTAGTCAAAATAAACATTAAGTTGTTACAGATACATATAACAATAAATAATAGATAGTAATAACTATCTTTCTTTCAAAACAAATATTTCTCCACCTCTGACTGGCTTAAAACCCCCAGTTAATTCTCTGTATTTACTAACCAGCTCCTGGATACCAAATCTGGGGAATGTTTGCCGACATTGTGAAAAATGAGTCACATTTACGCATAATTGAAAGCAAAAGGTAAGCAAAATGCCTGGCATCTCAGCTGTTTTTGCAGAGCTGGAGAAAATGGTAGAGCTGGGGATTTCACAAGTTTTCATAAAGAGACTGAAAATATAATGCCTGAAAACATAGCAAGAATTAGCAACATTACCACTTGAGAGATAACAACTGCTATTTGAAGACTGCTTATTTCTGCTATAAACTAGACTAAACACCTCTTTATATGTATATCCTAAAACTGCCTAGAGACAAGTAAATGTTACAAAAACGAGCAGAACTTTACGTACATCAAGGTAAGCATGTTTTAAATTTGAAATAATTATTTTGAATGAAATTAAAAGAAATCAATATTGTTGCATTCGACTTTCGTATGATATCATGAAGAATTATGCAGATTGCAAAGGACTTATTTGCCGAGGCTGATAACACCCTCCAAGATCTGCATAATCCTTTAAGTCTAACCTCATGATTTAGAATTATCCAGTGTGCTGCATTGCTCATCTGTATTCAGGAAAAGGCGGTTTGAATTGAAACATACAGTTGACTCTCGATAACTCGAACCTTGCGCTAACTCAAACCAAAGTCAATTTCCCCTGGATTTCCTTCTTACATTTACTGTACTTTTACCCCCAGTAACTCGAACCCTCGATAACTCAAATCTCCCACTAACTCAAAATAATTTTTTTTTCCCTTCAGATCATTTCTATACAATTCTACCCTCGATAACTCGAACCACATTATAAGCGCGTGACCAGTCGGGAGAAAAAAACGTGTACTGAAGTCCGAAACATTGAATTTATTTCAAAACCACCCGAGTCAATTCTTTGTCTTTACTTTTTTGTCACTACAATCCAAATTCAGTGTCCATCCCTGTATACTTTGTTGCTTAATTGCATTCCCTCCCCATCCATTTGCTTATTTCCTTACTTCCGGTTATTTGCTTCAAACTCCCGCTAACTCGCATTTTTTTCGATTTCCCTTGAAGGTTTGAGTTATCGGGAATTGACTGTAATTTGCACTTGGTGATCACTTTTGTTTATATAATCTACTTTGTTCATGTGGGTAGTTAGTATCATTAGTGTTCAGGATTGCTCAAAGTAACGACTTCCCTAAAGTAATGGCTACCTGAAAGTAGCAGCCCCTTAAGCCTGTTAAACTTGAACACACATTATGGGGAGGAAGGAGGGGTATGCACAGAAGAGAAATTCTTGGTCCTAACAGCTGATGTCTAATGTTCAGCCCAGGCAAACTCTTTGTTTTAACGCCACACGTTAGCAATTACGTCTGGCCTTAATCTTTATCAGTTTATGCAACTAGCCGCAGATTTCAGATTTGAAAAGGTGGGCATCACTGGATTACATGTAGTTTCCGCACATTAATTTTGGTATGGGAATCAGGGTGTAATGCTGAACTGTATAATACCGGGCCAATTATTTGCATGACACTGAATAAGAATGGATCCTTTTGTTTTCATAAGCTTTGTGCTGCATTAAAGACGTTGAGAGATGAGAAGCTAAGGTGAATAGTTTATTAAATTTCCCTTTTATTTATTATTAACAAAACAAAACTATAGAATTAACCTAACTGTAGCCATTACTTACATAGTAAGGATCTGGTTGTTCTACTTGGACCACTTCATCGGAGCTGAGATTAAAACAGACTGGAAGTCTACCATCCCAAATGTATCGTAAAACCTCTCTGTCCTCCGCCATATTGAAAAGCGAAACATTCCCAGAAAGCCTTTCGCGTCAAGAGTGTTACGTGACAACATGGCGGCCCTCTTCAAACACGTTTTGGGAGCGGGGATGACATCTTCGTCGTTGTGTAGGAGTCCAGCGTTCTGCTTTTCTACAAAGTCGCACTTGGTAACGAAGTATAACCTTGCATTTCAAAAGAAAAACTACAAATATGTTCTTGATGAGAAATTAGCGTTCAGAATTGCTCAAAGTCTTGGAAGGTTAGAAGATGATGTTATCATAGAGACCAATCCTGGCCCAGGGGTTCTTACGAAAGCGCTCTTTGAAGTCGGGGCGACTCATGTTATTGGACTTGAACCAGAAAGAAAATTCCATCCGGCTTTGTGGGATATCCAAGCGGAAAATACCGCTAAGAAAAGGTTTGATCTGCTTCATGGAGATTTCAGTAAAATTGACCCTCATGAAGGATCTGATAGAGCAGGGGCTTTTTGTTCTCCCCCGGCTATTTCTTCGGAAGATGTTTTGAGCACTGTGGAGTCTAAACCTTGGACATCCGATCAGTTGGCTGCAAGATTTGTGGGTATTGAATCAGCGACAAACCCCACAGTTCTTCCTAGAGTTTTGATTGGACAGTTGAGTAAAATGGTGGCAGGGAAGGGGATCTTCCAGAAGGGAAGGTGTGAGCTTGCATTTTTCTATGCTGAAGATAGAGCACAAAAACTCACTGCTGAGTATGGTAGCAAATATTTTAACAGAATTTCCATCATGGTGTCTCTGTTTTGTGATGTTAAAGTTTTACTGTGTGAACCTTGTTCAAATTTTTATCCAGTACGTGGAAAAGAAAGAAACAGATTTCTTAATTTAATGAGCCTTGTACCTAAGAAGATTCCCGCTGTTGATATTTCCAGTGACAATTTACATTACCTGAACTATTTTATACGACTTTTGTTGGTCAAACCACAGCGCAGAGTTATTGAGGCTATTGAAAGTATCAGCCCTGGAAGTCATGTGTTATTAGATGAGTTACAGTGGCCCTATGATACAACTGCAAGAGACTTACATCCTGAAGATATTGGCAAACTGGCAAGTGCTTTCTTTAAGTGGGAAGGAAAGTCACTTAATTTCTACTATGATTCAGGATGCAATGATCAGTTAGAAGGTTTAAAATTTATTTAAACAATGTGACTTAAAGATGGGATGTTAAAAAGATAGATAACTTAACCCATGTAAAAATTATATGTAGTTCTGGTCAACTGCGTTTCTAGAGTAAACTGGTTGAGACAAAGACACCTAAAAGCTGATGTTTTTATTTCCAGTGCTTAGAGACAAGTGATAGTATAGAACAGGGCAATTTTGCTCTCAAATTGCACCTGACTGCATAATCCAAGAGGAATACCATAATTCTTAAAAATGTATAGTCTCATTCAGAGCTTTCTGCTTTGAAAGAATCATTCATGGCCTCCAAAATTTCTAATGTTGTTGTGAATCTAATAATATACAGGAAGTATTCTATTTGAAATCTGCTCTAGGAAATAACACAATTGGCTGCATAATATATCTTCTTCCAGATAATGTTCCGTGGTAGCAGAGCCTTTTCAGACTTCTTGAATTGCTATTTGCATAAGGGGTAGCTGAGCACAGGATCAACTTCTTTCTGTAGTGAGTCTGTTTTCTTCCTCCAAGTATAACCCATAAAATAAAAATAGCAAAACCAAAACCTTTTTTACTTTATTTGAACTACAGCTGGTGATTATGATTAAGTGCCTTGTGCCATCACACTTCTGTGATAAAAACAGTGATGGTGGAACCTTGATCTCAAGGATGCCTCTTGAAACCCTCTTACCAGTATATTGAGTTTCAAGTTTATTGTTCTGCCACCATACAAAGTTAGAAGTGCTTAAACATTAAATAGCTTTTGGCAAGGAAGCCCAAGGGAAACCACTAGGCTTATTAGTATAGTGCTCCCTCAGTTAATCAATATAACAAAGTATTAACAGGTCGAGTTAAATACAACTCATTTGAATCAATGGCAGATCTCCTAAACAGTAAACATTATAATATATGAGATAATTGTATAAATTAAGCATAGTTAGGTTAAAAAATGCAAAGCGAAAAGAAGAAAAAAATGAAAAGTAGAGGCAAAGAAGAAAATATATACATTTATGATTTTTTTCAGTTTACAGGAAAAGAAGGCGATACTTGTTGCATTTTGAATTTGACATCATTCTATGCATTATTATCAGCCATATTTATGATGCATTGGTAGAGAATGCATGTCAAACAAAGGGTCTGGGGTGAGGATGAAAACGTTGAGTTGGACTTGGGTAAGAGACACCTGAGGCTGGCATGCTCCATGCAAAAATTTTACTCTGGCGTTTTGCACCTTTCAATCGATTTCAATGAGTGATTCTGAGAAAAAGAAAAAGCACTTTTATTGCAGTCTAGGAACAGAACCTTACTTGAAGTCCTTCTGTTTTAACCCTTCAAGTCTCAAAAGCAAACAACATCAATTTTGATCCTAACAATATTAGGACATAAACAAGAGAAAAGCTTATGAGAGTTAATAAAATCATTGCCTAAAGGAAAAAGCTTTGATCTTTCATCAAATTCCTGAACTAATTCTTTAGGTAATGTGTGGAAATCAGTCTGGAAAATGTGTATGTGGATATTGGGCTTGTAGGGTTACAAGAAAATTTTTGCAGTCCCTTTGCAGTTTGTTATATTGGGGTTCCACTGAATTATTCAATGAACATTTGCTAAGATCTCTTGCAGCTCCATAGCTTGATTTTAACTTCATCAATAGAACAGATCATCAGCTGAGATAATAGAAAGTGTAACTGTACAAGCTGTAGGAGAGTGTCCCTTGTCCATGTCAGCATGTTGTAGTTAAAATTTCTAAGTTCTCTTGACTGTTTGTGCTTATGCTTAATTCTAACTCAACAAAACGATTGCATGCTGTATTGCACCAGTCATGCATTATCATGCAATAACCTTTCTGCTTAGATTTCCCGTAATACTGTAAAAAAGGGAAAAGTTACATGTCAGCATTTAAGGGGGCAGTCTGTTTGAAAGCATTGTTTTTTGTTTATTTTCACCCTTTTTCTTAAATACCTGGCCAAGATTTCATTATTTTAATCAAAAAAATGACTCATAACAATTGAGTTGGAGTCCTTGGTTTGATTTTTTTTTTTGAGAACTTTGGATGCTTTTTCAAATGGCTTTTATGTACAAAAATGAGGGGGATGTTCAACATTTTGGAAAATTGAAAAAAATATTGGATTTGGGGGTTATTAAAAAGTTAAAAATGGAGTGAATAATTAGTAGACAAATACCAGACAGTCCACCACCACAACAAGTTGCCTCTGATCCCATTAGCAGACTAACTGGTTTATATGTATACCTTTTCTACCCTAATTTATTTCCAAAAACACCCAAACTGCCCCTGGGGGGGGGGGGGTACTGCCATATATGGGCTATATAGGTATGTGCCGCTGTGAAGGGTATGGTTTTCAAGCAGTTTACTCTAGGATAGGGTATATAAATCAGGGGGGGGGGGGGGTACTGCCATATATGGGCTATATAGGTATGTGCCGCTGTGAAGGGTATGGTTTTCAAGCAGTTTACTCTAGGATAGGGTATATAAATCAGAGCATTTCAGTCTAGAATAGGGTATCATTTTTCAGGAAACTGATCAGTTGGTTGAAGATTTTATCTAGACTAAGGATTGTGGTAGCACAGTTGTCTAGCCAAAACAAAACATTATAGTGACCTCAGTAGTTTCTGGAAAACAGCTACTCTAGGATAGGGGGGATTTGGGGACTTTACTCTAGTATAGGGTAGCAAAATTCAGCTGAACTAGCTCTGGTATAGGTTAAGGGTTCCAGGGTCCCAGCGGCACATCCCTACCCAGAAATTCCTAAAGTACTCCCCCCCCCGGAAAACTGCCCCCCTTAACACTACAGTAGATATTACATAGAAGTGAGCAGTGCTCTTGGCAGCATACATATCACCACCATTATCATAAAATTAACAATGACACCGGCCATCAAATTTTCTTGTAGGTTTTGTTGGATTTGGGCCTGCTCTTCTAATTCTTTCTTCATTTTTCGTTGATTTTCACCTTGCTCATTTAACCGCAATTCACATCCATTGAGTTTTAGCTGCAAAGCCTCCACCCATTGACCTTTGGAAATATAAAAAAGTAATAAATTAATACTGAGAAAACGATTTTTATTTACCCACAGCAAAAAATCCTAGCTTCCAGATCTAGAAGGCAACGTTAGCTGGTAATTTACAAGTAGGAGAGGGGAATCCGGATTCTGGAATCTGGGAAACTTTTGCTTGTGGAATCCGAAATCTGGGAAATCTTACGCGTGGAATCTGGAATCTTGGGCTTTGGAATCCGGAATACAGCTCAAGGAATCCGGAATCCCATTAACGATTGGAATCCAGAATGCAAGTTCCACTGACAAAGACTGGAATCCAGTACCTGGAATCTGGAATCCACGGTATGGAATCCAGAATCCAAGACTGTCTTGGATTCCCTCTGAACCCCCTATAGCGAACTGCGAATAACCGAGACGTATTTCTAAGCGGGTGGTTATGAGGGTGAGATTTGAAGGAGGGAAGACTCTTTCGTTCATTCCTCTCGCTCCCTTCAGTCACGCAGTCTCGTGATGTCTCTTTATATTACGGACCTGACAAGGAAGAAACCAAGTGTTCGCAATAAATAGGTGTCCTTATTTGGGAGGTAGGGATAATATGAAGTTTACACAGGTATCTTTGGGACTAGGAAAACTGTCCTTAAAGAAGGAGGTGCAGGTCCGTTAACAGATCCCCTACAACGGAAAAAAAACAACAAAAAGATTGCAATCGGAAGGATTTTACCTTCAAATTGTAGACGCCTAAGAGAAGTTACTTAAACTTGTATAAATGATAAGCGATATCAGCAGCCCATGGGCTCCTGGCGATATAACGATATACCGAAGCAGCTGCTGAAGGCTTAAATTTGGCGTAAAATTGTTACAATACAAGTAAACAACACGTGCAACGCATCACGTGCGGCTAAGTGCAGCAGCACAACAAACGCGGGTAGTTCCTCCTAGGGCACCACGTAAGGTTAAAGGTCCCTTAAAATTCTGCTCACTTTTACAATTATATTTGAAGACGTATAAGCCTCTCCACACAGAGGAGAATTGGTTAACGCCGAGTTATTTCACTATAAAAAGACGCTCAGTGGTTTACCTATATCTACTTGAATGCCTCTGTCTACCTTGGCAACCGCATCTTTCATCTCTTTGATCTTGATATTGTGCTCCTGAAGAATTTTTTGTTGTTTTTCTAAGGTAACCTCAAATAGCTCCAATTTCTTGAATAATTCGACAACAGACTGTTGCCCGGCCTCAGGCCTCTCTGTTTGCACATCACTGAACCTTTGCTCTAAATGTGTTGTGCATTTTGGTGAAGCTGTAAGTAAAAATTCGCATCATGGATCATCAGTTAGGCTCGTTAGTTCTTAATTTATAAACTGGTACAGAAAAGGATACGTGCTATGTTTTTTTTTGGTGCAATATCAAAATTCAATCACGGAGAGAATACTCGAAAAGACGATGAACTAATAATAAAAGTACTGAAACACCTCTTTCTACGTAAAGTCCCCACTCGGCAATTTATGTTGCAAAATTGAATTTTCGTCACACACAAGTATCGCTTAAGATTATAACTTGCCAGGGGGATAAAAATATTTGAAAGAATTGTTCTGGTTCGCACAGTAAACGGACCGATAAAGCTAAATATATACCTTGTACTGTCGTCTCGTGCCACGACTGATTTTTTTTACGCCAAATCTTGAATTTCGCCAACAACTGACCCATATTTTAAAAGACATGAAGGGAGGATAGATCATAGGGTAGTTTCCTGCCTCTCCTATCGAAAGAAAAATCTGCCACCAGATNTCTTTCATCTCTTTGATCTTGATATTGTGCTCCTGAAGAATTTTTTGTTGTTTTTCTAAGGTAACCTCAAATAGCTCCAATTTCTTGAATAATTCGACAACAGACTGTTGCCCGGCCTCAGGCCTCTCTGTTTGCACATCACTGAACCTTTGCTCTAAATGTGTTGTGCATTTTGGTGAAGCTGTAAGTAAAAATTCGCATCATGGATCATCAGTTAGGCTCGTTAGTTCTTAATTTATAAACTGGTACAGAAAAGGATACGTGCTATGTTTTTTTTTGGTGCAATATCAAAATTCAATCACGGAGAGAATACTCGAAAAGACGATGAACTAATAATAAAAGTACTGAAACACCTCTTTCTACGTAAAGTCCCCACTCGGCAATTTATGTTGTAAAATTGAATTTTCGTCACACGCAAGTATCGCTTAAGATTATAACTTGCCAGGGGGATAAAAATATTTGAAAGAATTGTTCTGGTTCGCACAGTAAACGGACCGATAAAGCTAAATATATACCTTGTACTGTCGTCTCGTGCCACGACTGATTTTTTTCACGCCAAATCTTGAATTTCGCCAACAACTGACCCATATTTTAAAAGACATGAAGGGAGGATAGATCATAGGGTAGTTTCCTGCCTCTCCTATCGAAAGAAAAATCTGCCACCAGATGCAGAGAAGGTTCGCCACTGAAATGCTTCCAAGAAGACCATTCAATTTGTCTCAAATTAAGAATGCATCTTTTCAGTCTGGCACTCGATCAGTGATGACTGCCTGTCAAGTTTGAGAGAGCGATGTAGTATTTTTCTCTGTTCCTCTTTTTTGTTTTATATTTGTTCATGTCTCATCTTTTCGTGCAAGTAAACAATTATAATACATTAGATGGAAAGGACAGAAACGGGTGGTACTGAAGGATCTGTGACGGCCGGATTTAAACAGCCGGCAAAAATTCGCGCGGTGACATCTTGAGTCCGCAAGAATTTAAGGTTATAGTATATAAATGAATTTAAATTTCGTTTTTGATGTTTAAATTAAATTTCCATTTAACCAAGGCTACTTTACTTTATGCTAAAAAAAACTTCCTGTCCAGAAAAAAAAATCATCGCAAAAAGTGAGCCTCCCAATCGGTCCAATTTTCCAAGCCTGATTCTCTGATGAAAATTTCTGAAAGTGGGGTTTGGCTGCAGGCGGATGGAAAATTTCTCGGAGCATGCCAGTAAGTTTCGGCCAGCATACACCTAATTACAATAACGTTGTCATAAGAAAATGAAAAAAGAGAATTAAAAAAAGAACTTATGGAGATCTGGTCTGACGAAGCCGAACTGACATCTCATACAGTTGCCAATCATATTACCTTCTCTCAGCAACTCGTTTGGACTTTTGATGTACAAGAGAATGTATGAAAATAAACAAATACATCCTAAATTCCATTTTTTGGCAAAAATAGAAATAAAAATGACTTACCTTGTGTTTTTTTTGTTGTTTCTTACTGTCTCTTCGCCTCTAAAACCATTTGGAAGCTGTTTTATCGACTATTACAATTTGGAGTTGTACCGAACAGTAAGAGAATTGTTAGTACAACTCAAAATAGTAATAGCTAGTTACCTTTATTGATGATAATAAAATTTACATTTATTTATTTCATCGAGTTAGTTCGCGTTTTTTTGTCTTCTTTTTTGTACATTGATAGATCGTGTGCGTTTGAATTTCAGAAATTGTTACCTTTACGGTAATTATCATTTATCCAAGTAATTGATATGCATAACGAATGTTGGACAAAGTTTCCGGGATCGGAGCTAGTGCTTAGGCCTAAGGACCAAGCACGGGGTGGGGGGCAGGGGGGGAGAGAGAACTGAGGCCTATAGACCTCGTGCGGAGCGACGGCAACACGAGTTTTGCCTGATGATCGCTCTGATTCGAATTCATTTGCCCGTTGGTTCTCGTTGTGATTGGCTTAACTAATACTCTTGCTTTTATCAAAGTACCACGGTTGATAATATCTTTTCATTACACTGGCTTCAAGAAATAGACAGTCATGAAATACCGCTTTATGATGCCAACTAGTTTACTTTAGTATCATGTCCTTCTCTTTTTAATATAGCTCATAGTCTTTGCAGTTAATGGAACAATTATCCAGAAGCTAACAATGTTCTTGGCAGCATACAAATGAGAACCATAATCACAAAACCCACAAGAAAACCAGCTAGTAAGTTATCTTGAAGTTTTTGGTGAATTTGAAGTTGCTCTTCCACTTCCTTCTTCAGTTCCTCGTAGCTTTCACAGCGCTTCTTCAGCAGT